CTAGTGTTGCTACAACACAGATTAACCAAATGGATGGCTTTAACAAGAACGTTTATTTTCTCACGGTTTCAGGGGCCAGAAGTCAGAACTCAAAATGCCAGATCTAGGGGACAGCTTTCTTTCTCTGTTGGCTCTAAGACAAAGTCCTTGTCTGCCCCCAGCATCTGTGGGCTTGGTATTCCTTGGAGACTTCCATCTGTATTGACCCCCCTCTTTCCCGGAATCTCGGCTCTGCGGGCAGGGATCCCCGGTGAAAAAGACACTCTCTGCTTCTGGCTCTTTCCCTCTGGTGGTGAGGGTCATCTCTCTTTCTCGCTCCTAAGATAAGAGGTGATGCAGGCCACCTCCCAGGGGAACTTTCCAGATACTGGATGAGGGCCTTCCCTTGACTAGGGCTGCTGCATCCCACTGAATCCTGCCTCGTTAACATAACAAACATAACATAATCCATAACATAAACCATGACCTATTCCAGCTTCAGCAAAGCATAGAAGATCACAAAGTGGGGGAATAATGAGGTCACAATACAGGAAAGCATGGCCCAGCCAAGTTCACACATCTTTTGAGGGAGTGCAATTTAATCCATGACATTACTTATCAACATCTTTTCAACTTCATGGTATGCACTGCCATCTAGTTAATTCTGACTCACAGGGACTTTATAGGACAGAATAGAAATGCCCCTTTTGGTTTCCAAGGCTGTAAATCTTTACAGTAACCCAAAACTCATCTTTTTCCATTGGAGCGGCTGGTGACTTCAAACTTGAGACCTCGAGGGCTGCGCGTTCTGTGGTCTTGTTTTATCTGTAGGGTCCTGTACAGCGCCTGGTACACAGCAGGCATACAATACATGTTGGAATGAATAAATGAAGACACTGCTTGTATGTCTTATCTCCTCACTCGGGATTGGATCATTTCCATCAAATCTTGACAACCAGATTGATATGCTTCTCTTGTCTGGTCCTGCAGATAGCTTGACAGACTGATAGAACTGATTGATAGAAAAAGCTGCATTTTAACCAAAATCAGTGATGGTGCCTAAGAGTAAAATCAGTGACCATTGCTCTATCATTTTGTAGTGGTCCTAGTTATAGTTTTAACATGAATTTATTAGTTACTTTATTTTAAACCTTCTGAAAACTATATATTTTTCTCATTATACATTTGCCATTTATATCACAGGAAAATGTTACTTGTACAATGTGTTAGCCAGCTAGAGTGGATTCCAAGGACACTCATATATGTGTTAGAGAGAGCTTAGTATCAAGAAGTAATTATGCATCAATGGAATATCCCAGTATAGTCCTGATCTAGTCCTTATGTCCAATACTAGTCCATAAATTCCTCAGACTCACACAGCTGCAAGCAATGATGCAAAATGTAGGAAGGTCACAGCCTGCTGGGTGAAAATTCTTGTGGATCAAATGGTGGTAGAAGCATCACAGGGCTCTGGAAGGTCTGTGAGTGGCTTGCCAGCAGGAGGGTGAAGGCAGAGAGGAGAGAGGGAGAGAGAGAGAGAGAGAGAGAATTCCCAGGATCTTTCTTATGAGAAGACCATGCCCACCAGGAGGTATCATCAGGCCGTGACCTGATTGACAGGTTAGACTCCACCCCTACACTTTCATATCTTCAAGTTGATATGAAAATAATGTAACTACTAAATACAAATATTAAATTACTGAATATATGTTAAGCATTTTAATAATGATGATTATATTGTCTCTGATCTCTGTACCTTAATGCTTTGTACCTCATTTAAGTAGAGATCATGTTTTCTTCATCATTAAATAAAAAATACTTAGCCTGGCCCATGGTACAACATTCCCACAAAAGAACAAACAACCCACTGCCATTGAGTCATTACACACACACACACACACACACACACACCACACCACCCTTGCTCCTGTAGTCTTTTCATCCCTATTAAAAAATCATAAAACTAAACCAACTGCCATCGAGTAATTCTGATTCATAGTGACCCTACAGGACTGAGAGGCAGGCAGTGTCCCTTAGAATTTCTGATGCTGTAAATCTTTGTGGAAGCAGACGGCCTCATGCTTCCCCGGAGTGTGAGTTTGAAGTGGTGACCTTTCAGTTAGCTGGTGAGTTTGAACCACTGACCTTTCTGTTAGCAGCCCATCATGTAACGCATTATTATGGCACCAAGCAAGTGCTAAATAAATACCTGTTGCCTGAGTGACTTGTTTTCTGTGGTGGCTGCTGTTGTGTAGGCTAGGTCTCCTTTCCTATTTAATGTACCCATTGCTCAGCTCTAGCGATTTTTCTCCTGACTGCTCACACCTGAGATCTCCAAAGCACAAGCAATTGAGTACTGGTGCTCCTTGCCCAGCTCTCTCAAGAACAGGAAGTGCCTGAGGTTTTATGCCCTCCCTTGGCAGTGAGCAGCCAATGACTGACTAGTACCGGATTATGGGAGCCAGCCAATCACGCAGGGCACACTTTCCAGATAATTCAGGCCCTTGTGGATCAGTGTGCGCTCCAGATGTCATCTGAAACTGCAGTCTCCATTGGATTCTTACCTTTCCGGATGCTGCTTTGCCTATTCCTTCGTAGGTATTTCCTGGGAAGGCCTCTTTCCTAATCATCCACACACACTACTTGTCTTGTAGCCTAGCTCTTGGGAATTCCATTAAGATATTGAATGTTTATAGAACAGTTGATACCAGGCACACCAGGGACTCATGGTGACTGTATTTCTCCGAGTGTCAACAGTGTCGTGTGCTGCTCTTTGAGACGGGCGTTCCCGAGAGTGTCGGTTAATACTGCTGCCAACTAAGTCTGGTGACTGGACCCAATTTTATATTTAATTTAGTTGCTGCATGAGAAGTAGCTTCTTAATTTTAGTCATTAATTGTTATTGAATTCATTGCAGATTTCTTGACTGACTTGTGGAATTGATGGATGGAACGGGTTATATTTCTGTCAGCCATTTTTGTTGGAAATGTGTTATTCAGTAAATATGGCATTGAATTATAGGTCTTTCAAGCTAAAGTCAAAATGTGTTTTCCTTGATTTTCTAGGGTTTTAGATTTCTACTCTTCTCTGGGCTGTACAGATAGTTTGCGATTGGCTGTTAGTGTAAGGCTGGTGGCTCACACCTACCCAGAAATTCTGTTGAAGGAAGTCCTGAGGAACGACTTCCATAAAAATTACAGTGACACACTTCTATGGAGCGGGTCTGCTCTGGGACATATTGAGCCACTGCTTCAGAATTGACTTAATAGCTACTGCTTTGGTTTGCTATTCTCTCTGCTTTTAATAGAGATGGTAAAGAGCTACCTGTACAATCATATGTTATATTGCGATGGGGTAGGCTAGGGTGTCTAGAGAAACAAAACCAATGACAGGTGGTTTATGGACTTGAAATCAGAAAACAACCTTTATATCAAGAAACAATTTCACATGAAGAATGCATCCCAGCTCAGGCCAACTCGATTCCGTGGGCTGACTGTTGGGTAGAGACCTCTTCAGACTCAAGTAGCTGCATGCTGATGAAACAGAACAAGCACCCTAAGCGGGACACAGGGTTGTCACAGGCAAGCGGGCGCAGAGTCCTGTGGATCCGAGGTTGGTGGGAAAATGGCAGGGTGTTGACACTTGCGGGGTCTGCAGCCCACATGGGGCTTACACTAGAGGCAGACACAATCCTGGCAAGCAGGGAAGGCCACAGGCCTGAGCGAGAAGGTCTGACTGTTCTCTTATAAAAAGGCCAGGCCCCCAAGGAGGCGCCACTAGGCTACTGCCTGCTTGACAGGTTGGACTCCACCCCGGCCTCCACAAAAGTACCATCAAGTTACCATTACACATGGACTACCGTTGTCCTTTGTTGTCTATGAACAGAAATATCCATTTCCATATACTAATAAAATATTTATTTTATAGTGATTTGGGAAAAAACCCAGTAAGACAATAAATTCTTTTATCTGTAAAATGGGATTGGGAATAGTGTGTTTCAGAATTGAAAAACACTTTAGAAACTATCTGGCGGCAAACACCTTTATTTTATAAATGAGAACATTTGAGACTCAAGCAGGTTAAGTAATTTGCTCACTAGTATCCAGCTTTTTTAGTGGCAGAGTTGGACTAAAATCCAACTCCTAGGGCACTCTGCTCTCCACTACTCCACAGAATACCTATTTCTTATTCGCACAATTGATATGAGGATTAGGGACCACGTCTGTGAAAAATAGATTTAGCCTTTGGAAAGAAAGATGCTGGATAGCTTTATGAAAGCTTTATGAAAACTAATCTCATTTTAACCTTTTCTGTACAATTGTTAGTTTTGTTCAGTTTTATGTTACTTGCCGAAGGATCTTTCTTGGCTAAGGACTAGATAATATACAATGCTTGATTTAAAATCAATATTACGGGTCCAGATTGTGCTGGAATATGAATGATGTTCAGCTGGGTTTGAGGCAGGAACAGTGGCAGACGGCCTCCAGAATGAGGACTGTTGATGTCCAGCAAATAATTTTCTATCCCTGGTTTGCAGATTGGGAATACGACAGTTTTTTTCCAAAGAAAAGAAGGGAGCATAAATTATATTTCTGCTCTGCTCAGTAATACTTTCAAAGTTTGTTACACTATGTTTTTAACAAACCATGAATTTTCTCTCCTGCTGAGCCACCGTATCCTGCCTATTTTCAGCATCGTTAGGGACCCCTTATATTAATCCACCGTACCTTCAAATCTCTAGCAGGCACACATAAGTGATAACTTTGAATATTTATTTTGATGCAAGGTATAGAAATGTTCTCTTTGTCATCTTGTAATAGGAGGAAATTGTAACTTGCTCACCGTGGTTACTTCAATTGTTTTAGTTTGATTCTTTCAGCTACAAAGTGCCTTGATATAATGAACAAAGGATATTGTTTAATTGTTGTAGTACTTGAAGTAACTTGTGTAGATTCATAGTTGCACGATAGATAAAACTTGAGCACCAAAAGGCTAAAGTACTGCGTATGCATCTTTTTTAGGTGCGATTATATGCAAGACCCGATGCCATCAGAAGAGGGTCCGGGGACTATGCTCTCCATATAACCAAGAGATTAATCGAATTTTATGAAGACTACTTTAAAGTGCCCTATTCTTTGCCAAAACTCGGTAAGAATTTTCTTGTTTATTTTTTCAGAAGGGCTCCTTGAAGGTGGGATTTATTGGTTAAGATACTTAGGAAGCATTAACAGTCTAAAGGTTATATTTTTAGAGGCTATGATTGTGAAATAGAATTTCACAAGAGGAAAAGTAAAGTTTGGTGCTTCTGGATTCTTGCTACAAAATATGTGTACAATTTAAGAACTTATGTAGGTTTAGCATTAAAAATATAGCCACAATAATTCTACTTTGTTAAAAACATGCATACGAGGTTCTTGCCAGTATCACACTTCATCTTCTTAACTACTGGGTACACTACGCACCGCTATACCATTTTGTTTTATATTAAGGAAATTGAGACCATGAAGTTTCTGTTCATCCAGACAGCCATTAAATGAAGGATCTGAGATGTCAAACTCATTCTTTATGTTTCCCCAAAGTCTTCACTGTGTTACCATGGGAAGGTGCCCAGTGATTCGTTTTTGTTTCCCAAATCTCACATGTCGGGCCACAGTGTGTAAGCTGCCCCTTAGGTTATTTTCATTCAGTCACATTTTGGATATCGAGTTATAGTAAGTTATATAAAAAGAAGAGAGAAAGGAATTGCACTGGTAATGGGATTGTGTTCTTGAATGTTCTTATGTTTCTTCCATGCACAAAGGTAGTATGCTCAATAATTGTTGGTTGAATGAATAAATTAATTACTTTCATTACTTCAATTTCAGTGAGGCTGCTTTTGCAACAGTATCATTCTATGACTTTCCAGAAAGTTAGAATGCATACCCATTATGAATACTGACATTATTTTTCCTTCTGAGAAAATCTGTTTTGAAATATTACATCACAACACTCCTTGTTTCCCACCTCCCCACCGCTATTCTTTTTTTCCTTCCCAAGAGCATTTTTGATCAGTATCCACATAAAAGGTATTGCTCATTGGCAACAATAAAGTGCTTTCGTGATCAAAGTGTTAGCGTTTGAACCACAGGTTCTTTTCCCCAGAGAACTAGGCCTATTTCATTAAAGTACTTGCCTGCTGTGTAGCTTTACTGGCCATACAATGAGCTGTTTAGAAAATAGAATAGTTGATGTTGTTATCAATAGGTGTAGCATGTAGCATGTGGATGGAGAAGAATGAGATTGTACATATTTGAATTCATTTTAAAAGACATAACTTTGAATCCATAGGCAAAATGATTTTTTGTTTGTTTGCTTTCTGTTTTGTTTTGCTTCTTTGTTTTACCCTCTCTATCAAGTTCTCAATTAGCCTCTGTTACACTGAAATCTCCCTGGTAGGGACCCAAGGCAGAGAGGTATACCTGACCTTATTTGCATGGGAGGCGACGCCATTCTCTGTACTAGGTAAAACAAACTGGAGCTTCCCAGCGTGACCCTAATGTAAAATTCACGAGTGCTTGTTGCAAGTTCAGCAGAGAAATAAAATGTGGATCATTCCTTGTCTCTTTCAGACCAGTAATTAGCAGAGGAACTCAATTTACAACTTCGGGGGGTTCCTTGTAACTGTCAGCTTGCAGCAGGAAGCATTTCTGCTCCTCTGTTTCACTCACACTTGAACCATGCAAGCTTTCCTCTGTAGAAATGAAGTCTGCTCAACATTATGATTATTTGTTAAGATACCTTATGGTGTATATCATGGGATGATTTGACTTTACCCCAGCACATTCAGTTTTATGTATCTTGGGAAGATATCACAGGTCATGTGCTTTGTAAAATTTATCTCTTATGTTCTATGCATTCTATAGATATTTTGATATGTCTGTTAATGACATTATAAGTACATTTTCTATATAAGATCCTATATAAAAATTGGTAAAAGCAGGAGTAGTTTGACAAAGCCTTAGCTTTTGTTATACATTATGAATTATGTTTTCAAAAAATGAATATTTTGGAACCAACTCAGTCTTTAGTAATGACCCAGGCAGACTCATTTTGGATATTAGCCGTGGCTGTCTTAACCTTTGAGATCAGTTTACAATAGAGTCTATTTCACCCTTTCCCTCTTCCCCCACCTGCCTTCCCTTTCTGCCCTCTCTTCTCCTTTCCCTCCTCCTCTCATCTCTTCTGTAGGTGTTAGTTGTGTCCCTACCATGTTGTAGACACTTAACTATCTGATAGGGATATAGTAGTGAATTAAAAAATGCAAAACTTCCTTCTATCCTAATATTTACAACCTTTTAAGTTGAGGCAAGTTAAATCAATAAGTAAAATGTATAACCTATCAGCTGGAGATTAAAAAACAAAACAAAAACAACTCATTGCCCAAAGATTGATGCAGACTCATTGCGACCTTGTAGGATAGGGTAGAATGACCCTGTGGGTTTCCAAGATTGGAACTCTTTACAGGAATGGAAATCTCATCTTTTTCCCATGGAGTGGCTGGTGATTTTGAACTGCTGACCTTGGGGTTAGCAAAGGCAAAAAGGATGAATAGAGAGTATGTGTGTGGCACTGTAAATGAAGCTCATATTTTTGTCTTCTTTCTTTTTGAAAATTGTTTTTGTTGTGAATTGGGTGAAGGTTTACAGAGCAGATCATCAGTTTTTTTTTCAACAATTAAACACATTTTGTTTCATGTCAACCGTTGCAATCCTCTCCATGTACCATCACGTACGGACTTCCTTTCTGTTACACATTCCCATTCATGCTTCTTTTCTAATGCTCTGAATTTTGTCCTTGGATACATGCTGCCCTTTGGATCTTAAATGGTTGATTATACTCAGGTGTGCCTTCCACACTAGTGCTATTATTCCTCTTCCAGGCCTGTCTAATGTTTGACTGAAAAGTGAACTACAAGTGTGAGGTCAGTTACAGACCTGAGGAGTGACTAAGGATCATACATAGTCTTCAGGGTACCACCAGTCTCTCTCCAACCTGTAAGCCTGGTCTCTTTCATGGTTCTGGAATCTGTACTCTATTCCCCTTCTGCTCTATCCAAGACCTTCTATGTAATCCTTTTCATAGTAGGTGATAGTGGTAGCCAGGTGCCATCTAGTGCTTTGTGTTTCATGGGTGTGAAGGCTGATGTGTGCATGGCCCATGCTTCTATTGGACACATTGTGTCCTTGAGAGTTTCTAGTTTGATCAGTCTTCTTTCTTCCTGGTGGGGGAGCAGAGGAGACCAAGAATTGTACCTCAGATGGCCACATGAGTTTTCAGACCTCAATCTCCAGTCACCAAAGTAGACCATAGAACTTTGTCTTCATGAACTGTGTCACCCTAAACATTGCTAATACATGTTTGGTTATGTCTAATAAGGGGTTGACATTTTTAAATGGGCATTCACAGAAGACACCATTGGGAAAGTGGTTTTTGAGCAAAGGACTTAGGGGAGTAGAAAAATTAGCCCAATATATGGAAGAAATTATGGACTCAAAGAGATGAACAGACAATTTCAAAGGGCAGCTTGAGAAGACAAAGTAAATTATTGTGATTAATTGTGCAAAGACCTAGAGTTAGAATACCCAAAAGACAAAACACACTCAGCATACCTTTAACTGAAAGAACTCATTAAAAAATTCAAGCCTTTAGTTTCAACATTGAAAGATTCTATCTGCAAAATATTAAATGATGGAGAAAGCAAGTAAAGAAGATGGAAGGAATACACAGAGTCACTGTACCACGCTAGTCAACATTTATCCATTGCAAGAGGTAGCATATGACTAAGAGCTAATGACACTGAAGGAATAAATCCAAGCTGTACTGAAAGTATTAGCCAAAAACAAGGTTTCAGGAATCGCTAGAATATCAATTGAAATGTTTCAACAAAATGATGAACCACTGGGAACACTCACTCATCTAGAAATTTGGAAGACGGCTGCTTTGTCAACTGACTGGAAGAGATCCATATTTATACCCATTCCAAAGAAATGTGACTCAACAGGATAAGCAAATTATCATTGATATCACATACAAGCAATGTTTTGCTGAAGTAGTAAGCAAGTGGTCCATTGATTGGGAGCTGCTAGAGGTTCAGGCCAGATTCAATAGAGGACATTGAACAAGAGATATTGCTTCAATCAGATGGTTCTTGGCTAAAAGCAGAAAAGACCAGCTGTTGTGTAGCGTGTTTCATCCACAATGTGAAGGGATTCTACTGTATGAATCACAACAAACTATGGATAACCTTGAGATGAACAGGGATTACACAACATCTCTTGTGCTCATGTGAAACCTGTACATGGATCAAGAGGAAGTTGTGTTCACAGAACAAGGGAATACTACCTGGTTTAAGATTCAGTGAAAGCGTGTGTCAGAATTGTATCCTCTTGCCATACTTATTCAATTTGTATGCACAGCAAGTCATGAGAGCAACTGGGTTATGTGAAGAAGAACGCAGCATCAGGATTGGAAGGGAGGCTTATTAACAACCTTCAATATGCAAATGAAACAACTTTGCTAGCTGAAAGACAGGAGGACTTAACGCTCTAGTTGTTAAAAATAATCAAGGATTTCAGCCTTTAGTGTGGATTACAACTCAATGTAAAGAAAACCAGGATTCTCATAACTGCACCAATAGGCAACATCAGGACAAACGGAGAAAAGATTGCAGTTGTCAAGGATTTCATCTTGCTTGGATTCATCAACACTCAAGAAACAGCACTCAAGAACTGAAACAACACGCTGAATTATGTAAATCTATGGCATAAAATTTCTTAAAAGTAATGAAAAGTTAGAAGGTTCCTTTGAAGACTGAGGTACGGCAGACAGAAACCGTGGTATTTCAATCACCTTTTATGCATGTGGAAGTTGGATATTGGATAAGGAAGACTGTAGAACATTCTCTACATTTGAACTGTGGTGCTGGCAAAGAAGAATGAAAGTCCCACAGACTGCTCTCTCTTGGGCGAAGGACGGCCAGAATGCTCCTTAGAGGAAAGATGGTAAGACCTGTCTCACATACTTTGAACTTATTGTCAGCAGAGACCAGTCCCTGGAGAAGGCCATCATGCTGGGGAAAGTGAAGTAGCAGCGAAAAAAGGAAGGCCTCA